ACTCTGTCCAGATACACAGTGTTACTGAGCAGTAACTAATCGGGTATAAATTTGATACCTGCCGATTGCAGGTATCAAATTTACTCTCAAGTTGGCAGAACTCACCACATTTATTGCACAGTACAGGTATGCATATGTAGACGTGCACCTGTACTGTGCATAATAAATGTGCATGTGTAGATGCACACACACACGCAAATTAGTTTGTTGTTGCCCCCCCAGGTATTTGTTTTTGTTTGGATCTTAACCTGAATAATTTAGTGCTAGCTTCTTACCATATTAGTAAAGCTTCTAAATTATCTTTAACTGGAGAAAAATATGTGTTATATTATGATGTGCCACACCATCTGCACCTTCCTTTTCAAAATCCTAGATATGCCCATGTTTATGCCCTCTGTTTTATAAACACATCAGAGTGTAGCATGTGCTACCCTCCTCCTTCCCTGCCAGCTCAGTTCGTCTGGCTGGTGAAGAAGGGAGCAGGGTCATAATCCTACCTCCCTCTTTGCCCATACCAGGCACTTCTGAATCTAGTAAATCAGGGAGCACAAGGATGTGGACAGCTGCACACAGTAAAGAAAATGTTTTATCTTTCCCCTATCTAATGTGCCTGTGCCAGAGGAGTCCCATTGGTAATTTGATAACATTGATATCAATTATTTAACATTGATAGGAGTGATAATAATGCCCTCCGTGTGATAAAATTTCATAACACTTTCTAATAGAGTTATGCTATAGTATCCCATTTGCTGTAGTATTCTACTTGTTCCTTACATAGTATAGGATAAAGGATGATTATGTGTTTTAAAGTTGGAGATTCTCATACTTCCAGCACTAACCCATGGTTTCATCATTGGCATCATTACATGAAAATTGACCCTACTATTTCAAAAATTTAAAATAAAGGTTATTGTTATATTATCAAAATGTTCCCATTCTGGGATCTGATTGCTACAAATAGGGAGGTCAGTGCTCAACTAAGAATTATGTCAGTTATCAAGTTACATTATGTTATGATTTGTTTCAGGACATTACATGAGTCATTTGGGACAGCTTACAGTGCTTGCAATTTAGGTAATAATATGTAGGAATTTCATGTTACATGATATGTACATACACAGTATTATACACAATATGTGTAGTATATAGAATCATAGAAAATGAGGGTTGGAAGGGACTTCAGGAGTCATCTAGTCCAACCCCCCGCACAAAGCAGGACCATCCCCAACTAGATCATCCTAACCAAAGCTTTAAAAACCTTCAAGAATGGATATTCCACAGCCTTTCTAGGTAACCAGTTCCAGTGATTTACCACCCTCTTAGTAAGAAAGTTTTTCCTAATATCCAACCTAAACTTGCTTTGCTGCAACTTGAGAACACTGCTCCTTGTTCTGTCATCTGCCACCATTAACAACAGTCTAGGTGCATCCTCTTTGGAACCGTCCTTTAGGTAGTTAAAGGTTGCTATCAAATCCCCCCCTCAGCCTTCTCTTCTCCCTACTAAATAAGCCCAGTTTCCTCAGCCTTTCCTCATAAATCATTTGCCCCAGCCCCCTAACAATTTTCATTGCCCTCCACTGGACTTCTCTAACTTGTCCACATCCTTTCTGTACTAGGGGGACCCAAAACAGGACACCCCCACCCTCACTCCCCAGGGGTGGCCCAAAAAGCCAATTACACAAAGCCAATCTTCTAATCATGGAAGTCAATCAGATTGATCAGGCATGACTTGCCCTTGCTGAATCTATGCTGACTATTCCTGATCACTTTCTTATCCTCCAAGTGCTTAGAAATGGATTCATTGAGGACTTGTCCATGATTTTTCTGGGGAAAAAGGTGAGGTTGACTGGCCTGTAGCTCCCTGGATCCTCCTTTTTTCCTTTCTTAAAGATGAGTGGGCACTGTATTTGCCCTTTTCCAATCGTCCAGAACCTCCCCTGATTGCCACGAGTTTTCAAAGATAATGGCCAGCAGCTCTGCAATCACATCAGCCAACTCTCTCGGCATATGCCTTGGTAAGGAGGTAGCCTGGAATATACAATTAGACCTGATCTATCATTACTCCTGATGTTTCATTGCCCTTGGCCATTATATGGATGCTGAGTGTCTATTCTGGTTAGCTAGTAGAAGTTGACATAATTTGACAGGATCCAGTAACCTTTTATCTCTAATTTCCTCTTTGTAGACACCTTGGGAGTGACAGCAATATATAGTTTTTAAGGTACAAGTAGATGAGAAAGGCCAAGTTTTTTTGAGGAGGGAATGGTTAAGTACTGGGATCCCCCTGATTTGAATCAATGGGTGCATCTACACATGCATCAATGCACCGTAGTTACTGCACATTAAGCGAATTCAGTGCACAGTAACTGGTGCTACTGTGCAGTAGCCGACACACAGCTTTTTAGTGATGCTAATGCACAGTAAATTAGTCTGCTGCATATTTAGCATCCCATGTAGTACCCAGTGTGTAGTAACTTTCATTGGTCCTCTAAAAATAAATGCCATATTAACCTCTTTTCCACTTTTGGCCCTGTGCTTTACAAAATATACTAGCCATTCATCAAAATCCTCCACAAGCAGCACCATATAGAGTTCATTGTTATGCATTAACATTCAGTTGAAAGCAATAGAATGCAGGATGAAGCTGGTATGTCTGAGTGCACAGCAAGTTTGATATATCCAGGAAGATTTGAAATTCTTCTGCAGCACTAAATATGTTGTGGCCATCAACATTACAGCAGATAGGTTACTGGTTTTAATATTTTATCAGAAATGCAATTAGAAAATGTGCATATTAGTACAAGAGCAATTAGATTTTGTTCTTTAAAAAAAAACCCTAAATAAGTGTACATATATATGTATGTGTATATGTATGTATACATACATATACTCCAGAATATAAAGTGTGCCTTGTTTTTGAAAGGCAGAATGAATTAAAGAAACATTATTCTGTAGAAAGTAACTGAGCAGCAGGTAGGGACCAAATCCTGCCCAAGTTTTGCTCTCTGTGGACACGTCTACATGTTCATTAATGTGCCCTAGTTACTGTACATTAAGTTTAGTACTTGGTTAACTAAGTACTAATACAATGTGCAGTAACTTGTGCTACTGCACAGTAGCACCAGTACATGGAGGTTTTTTTGTGATGCTTACTGCACAGTAGCCTAACATTGTGCAGTAGCATATTAGCACGGGTTTTGCCTGGCACACTACTGCACAGTGTTATTAGGCTACTGCGCAGTAAGCATCTCATGTAGAAATGCACTTTGAGTCACCTACAGATTTTATTTTTACTTTTGCCCATAACCAGAAACTGTTCTTACTGTATTTTTTAAATATATTACACATCACAATTTCTAGCAGTTGGTTAGCAGGGGTGGGGGGTAAAGTGTATTCTGTAGGTGAGAAAAAAATTGATTTTTTGTGTGTGGTTGTGTGCATCCATACGTACATGTGAAAAATATTCATTTTGTCTATTCACAAGTAGTTTCTAAAACAGCAGGATTTATTATTTCAGGTTTTTGTATCTGAATACAGAAAGGAAATATGTCCTATCTGATGTTTTTTTAAAGGCTAAACAGTCATCCATGCTTAGACATTCTTCTAATGTCAGTTGTTCTCATGTGACTTCACTAATGAACCTACTTTGAAAATGTCTGTAACATCTATCCTACTTTTAAAAGATGTCAAATATAAAGAGAGTTAATTCTGGTAGCCAACAGCAACATCTGTATAATGATCTGCAGTTATTTCACTTTACCTAATTCAGGTAATGCTGGAAGGTCCTGTGCTTAGCTGTCATCATAGAGGTAGCTTTCTGGACAATTCTTGCAAATGTAATCCTAGCTTGTGTAGGCAGGCATACCAAAAAGTACCCTCCAGTACACTGCCTACACAGTTCCTCCCTTGTGCTCTCCTTCCTTAAGTGGTAGCAAGACCCTTCAACTAACCTCCCTTTTCTCCCATCAGGGATTTCTGGTGAAAGCAGCTTTGTTAAATCCATTCCCTCACTATATGTATGCTGGCTGTGTTCCTACTTCTCAGGCTGCCCACAGCCACTTTAAAGCCAGGAAAGCCTGTGTTAGCTCAGATTTCTGGGATATCTGAGAGCAAAGTGAAGACAAAGACAGCATCTAGGAGGCTTGCTTCTCTTGCCAGGCACTGCACCTTTCAGCACCCATGGAGCCCTTCTGAGAGGGCTCCTGCATTAATGATGTAGCTCCCCTACTGCCAACCTAGCACAGCCTTAGGTATACTTTTACGTTCTCCTCTCACAGGTATTTTTCCTCTGTCTTAGGGGCTTTGCATATGCTAGGGAGGTTGCTGAGTACAGGGGGGTTATACCATTTGAGGTTTAAATCTGTCTTAGAAAGGAGTTCGAGCCACTTTAGCCCTCCCCCCCCCACCAAAAAAATCAGTGGGTTTCCATCAGACAAATTAATATTATTCTAAGTCTAATTTTTTCTACTCAACTGAGCAAACAAACCTTCTTAATTAATGGTAAATTTTCAAAATCGACTAAATGAGTTAAAATCGCAGAATCCCATTGAAAATCAGTGGCATTTTGGCTTTCATATCACTAACAGCTATTTTATATAGGCTTTTAGGACCTGTTGAGAGTTAGGCATCTAGACACTTTAGAAAATCGTGGTAAAAACACAGCTGTATCATTAGTCACCTAAGTATCTTAAAAACCTGGCCTTTAGGTTTCCTTTAAAAAGTTTACATTCAGTCCTCTATAGCTACCTGCCTGATGGTAACTCAGAGTGGGATTCCCAATACTCCCTAGTTTGGAGAGCTATGTGGTTATGAGAAGAATAATTTACAGGTAAGGCTCAATATTGCCCTACTTATGCCCTTTATACAGGAAAAGCCTTTTTTATCAGTTTTTTAATTACTATCAATAATTAAATTTGGGACAGTTTATTTAAGATATTTTAATATCCACATATTTGTTCTCTCACATTCTGACTCAAATTCTTGTGTAATTTTTCTTGTAGCTTTGTGGTTAGGGCTCTTCTTGTTTACAACTCTACCAACAACATCGACTTAGAAGAGGAAGCTATCCGGGAGAAACTCATAAGCAATAATAACACCATAGGGGATGGATTAAGGCTTCAGACAGTAGATGTTAATCCAGTAGGTATGTAATGGGTCTTCAGCCTTGGTGTTCTGTGAGCTTTATTTGTTTTCTCCAAAATAAATCCTTTCCTGTTTGATTAAATAATCCCTGCAAAATCCAGTAATCCATTTCCAATTTGTACTGCACGTGGGAATTTGGCTACATTTGGATAAAAATATACTTAAAGTCTATCATAAGTGTCTCTTTTAATACATACTTATCTGTCTAGACGGTTAAATCAGTGAGAGATCCATACTGTTCACGGAGCTATGCCAGTGTATAGCAGCATAGCTGCTATACCTTCTGATACCTTCTGATAGGTACCAAGCTGATACCTTCTGGACAAAGAGTGCAGTCTGCAGTATCCAATCATTATGTATCCATTATATACACTCACTGATTATGTGGTTGTCAATTACGGAATGGTTAATCATGTGGTATAAGGTAGGCTTATAAAATAAATGATAATATACTTGATAAAACAGAGTTAAGATCCATTCTCATACTTGTGTATTGTTGTTTTGTAGAAAAATGTTTAGCTGAAGAAAACCCTCCAAATTATTTCTGGCCAGATACCAGGCCCATGGTGACCAACTTCACATTATGCCAAGGGAGCTCCACTCAGATTGCATCAAGAATGTGGTAAGGATTCAAATACTTGGAAAACCATTCAGAAGCTGTGAGTTGTCTAAGGTAGAACTCATTCACAGTTTATTGGTTATGTACCTTGAACCACTTTAAGCCTGTGTCTACCTTAGGCTATGTATTGTTCAGTATTATTTTAAATAAGCTTTTTTCATATTGTGAGGCAAGCAGAAACAAAGAGAATGGAGAGGCCTATGTGGTTGCAGTAGAAATACATTATTAGTAATGACCTGGAAATGGCACAAAGAGCCATTGCTACATCAAGGTGTAATGAGGCCTAGAGTTGTTATTTGTTCAAAGTGACTAAAACGCTTCTCACTAAACAGATCAGCTTCCTAAATATCCTCAACTCATGACAATTATTAACCATCAGAAACAATGTTTATAAAATCAGTGCCGGCACAGCGTGGTGAGTTGTATTTTAATTTGGTTTGTACATCACCAAACTATTCCCAGCTAAATTCTCATCAAGGAATTATTTCTTTTGACTGATTTTGAGACACCTCATGTAGTGTAAGGAAACTCTGACATTAACAGTTTGGCAGTAATGTGTTACAGGGAATGAGGATGTTCTTGTGTAGCTTATGATGATTTTAGACTTGGTTTTTAAGGTTTCAGCTATGGTACAGGTGATTCATGGGTGTCCATGAGTGGCCGCGTCTGCATGAGAAACTAACTGTGCAGTCATTACTGGGGTAACTGGCATTACTGCACAGTAGCACCACCAAATGGCTTTTAGGTGACACTGACAGTACAGTAGCTCATTACTACTGCGTAGTAGTAACGAGCTACTATGCAGTCAGCATCTTATGTAGACATGACCAGTAAGTCATTTAAACTCAGTTTCCCATCTGTCTGTAAAATGGGGATTATTCCTGCCATTCCTCCACCCTTTGTCTTTTTTGTCATTTCAGCCTATAAATTTTTTGGAGTGGGACTGGTTCTTAATATCTATTTGTACATTACTGAATGCAATGAGGCTTTGATCTTGTTTGGGTATCTTAGATATGCAAATAATAATAAGCATAATCTTTAATATGCTAGCCATAAGCAATACAAACAATAGGCTTACCTGCCTACACTGCATCCAGTATATGGTCTGAAAAGGTCAGTCCAGATCTTTTGCTTTCTGAAAGCAACATGGTAACACAAGGGTCAACCTCAAGGTTTTATGCCAGACAGGAAAACAACCAGAGTTGTATGTAACTAACTTACTTCCTCAGCCTGTTAATTTTGTATGAATACCATTACATTGTGACTGAACAATATTTGTTTCCAAGTAGCTAGTGCAGGGGTCAAACTGTGTCAACGTGTAAGCCACAAAGTCATTAGAGTTGAGACTTCTGGCCTTTACTGCCCCAGGATTGCTTATCTTAATTGCTCATTCATGCTCTACACAAATACCTTTGATTGTCAAAATAAAGTAGTTCATAGCCAAAATTATTTTATTCTGCCTTGAGTTAAACTGTTCTTGCTACTGCCTCCATTAACTCTTGCCAATAAAAAAAAAAAAAACAAAACAAGAATGATGTGGTTGCTCATGATTAGCTAGGAACTGGAGTCAGTGACCCAGAAGCCTCTCTGATTATATCTATATCATACCCCTTGTATGGCACAAGCTTGCTTTGTCCACCCAGTCTTCATAGCCTTGGTTTTTGGCATACTTGACAATAGCTACCAGGAACTTCCTTAGGAGTGGTTTCACCAGTGCATTTCCAGGTTTGTATGTGCTACTGGAAGTGGGTGGACTAGGCATACTCATGCCAGGAAGTGTCCCTCTTTAGACATGCTAAGGATGTGGTATATATAAAATGACGCTTTCCTACATTCATAAAAGAGGAAATTACATGCTTAACAGCTGTACTGTATCAAGACTTCTACATGGGAGAAGAAAGATATGCCTAAGATTTGTATGCATAGGACTTGCAC